TCTAGGGGGATGCACGGGCTGTGGAGGACCTAGAAAAAGATCTTCAATGTTCACGAAGCATATGCATACCACCACCATATTATCACAGTTAAGGAGATAAGCGGGAATAAGGGTTCAAATTCTGCCCTCTGTTGGGGCTTTATGGCAGCCACGAGGAACGGAATGTTCCAGAGGTTCAAAGACAAAACCTGTGCCCTCGTTCACATACAAAGGTTAATCAAAATATTCCCAACTCTAACAGCTACTGTGACCAAAGGAAACTAAGATGAACATTCATTTCAGGGACAGACTAGAGTTACTTCTTGAATTGCAGACCATTGTATAAATCTCACTTTTTCCTTAGGGAAAAAGACCCTCTGTACCAAAATATATATATATATATACAGAGAGAGAGAGAGAAAAGGAGCTCTGGTAGCGTAGTGGTTACAAATCGGGCTGCTAACCTCAAGGTCAGCAGTTTGAAACTACCAGCTGCTCTGCGGGAGAAAGATGAGGCTTTCTGCTCCCGTAAAAATTTACAGCCTTGGAAACCCTGTACAGGGTAGCTATGAGTCGGAACCGACTCCACAGCACATAACCACCACCACCATAGAGAGAGAGAGAGAGAGAGAGACCCCTTTTGCTACATTACAAATATAGACAAAAAAAAAAAAAAAAAAACAGGGGCAAAGGTGACAACGATCTGACTGACATCCATTGCTTTGCTTTACTTGCCAAAGTAAAATGAATGCGATTGTATCCCACCCTCTGTTCCCCTAAACAGATTGCTATAAACATATTTCTGGGCCTGATTCATTAAAAAAAAAAAAATGAAAGCAAACAACTTTAAATGCTTATTATGGGCAAATAATGAGGATTTAAAAGAAATAATGACAGTTTTTGCCCTCATGAATTGTTTCTTACAACTAATGTAGTCTAAGACCTTTATGTCTCTAATACACAAATCTGAAAATCTTAGTTAACAAGTTTTTTTTAATGGTTGGGGTCTTCTTTCTCTCTGGCATTTGACTATTTACTATAGTTAGATTACATAGGCCAACAACATATTCACATTAATGTAGAAGGGATTAAGAGGTCTGAAAAGGTTGATGCTTCTCAGCATTTAGAAGCTTAACTATAAGAATGAAAATGAAAGACATGGTGGTAATTGGAAAAAATGGAAGAATAAAAATCAATTGCTATAACGCTGTAGTTATAGTCTCAGTATATTTGAAAAGTTCCAAATAAAATGTCTATCAATGCCATGTGATACTGAAGTACTTACTAATATGACAATACCTCATGGTACATGACCTAATGAAGGTTATGAGGGAATAATGAAAGCTTTCTCTTGCAATTCCTTCTACTTATTCGTTAAAAAGAACAAACACCAGCCATCAAAAAAAGAAAAAAAAAAGATAAATTTTTAAATTATGATTTGGTAAAAAATATGGCAGCTGAATGCAAGAGGTGGTCAATGTTTAGGAAAAGTCTTCTCAAGGTCAACATTGGTAATGGTTACTATGTCACACTCATTTACTAATCATGTTACTGATTCACGTGCTGTGTCAAGAATAAAAGATCCTACTGAGTGGTTTTCCAGGTCTACGTTTGCTCACATTGCTAACCTAGAATGCAGTCCTAGTGAACTGCTGTAGGATAAGCACTAGACTGCTAACCACAAAGTGGGCGGTTCATACCCACCAGTCACTTCCACAGAAACCCTAAACAGGTTGCTATGAGTCAAAACTGACTCAACGGCACTTAATAACAACTAATTTAGAATGCTAACGTAGGATAAGAAATTCAGGGTTTTCCATTTCCACACCCATGTTGAAAGACTACTGAAAAGGCTAAGTTAACTCTCTAAAGATTAGTAGTCCTGGAACAGTAACATCTTTTAAATATGATCAAGAAAGATCCTTCTTTTGTCATTCATAAGAAGAAAACTTGAGTTTAGCCTATATCCTAGAATAAGGACAAATAAACTGTATTGCAGAAAGCGTGTCCACACCAGTGAAAACCCTGAGTAAATCTACTCGCTGAATAGTCTTGGAAGTAGAGAAAGTTATCCACCATGGGCCTCTTTTATCTTCTTTCTGTTGTTGCTATTTTTGTTTGCTTTGCCTTTTTTTTCCTCCTTTTCTTTTTTGTAATGAATCAGGCCTCTCGTCGTGTTTGGCTTATTTGTCGAGGAGGGTCCAACTGGAGTGGAATTTGTATTCTTAAATGGTAAGGCTTCTCAGCCAACTCTATGGTCTCCGTACAGTGCACCGGTCAGAAACACACAAATGGTTTTGCCCAGGAAATAGGTTCAAGCCCTCCCTACAATAGCCAATGAAGTTTGAGTATGTAAAAAGCAACCGAATAAAAATACAGCAAAACTATAAGCAAACTGTTTCTAATGTATCTTACAGGATAAGGAACTATTTTTTAAAAATCTGTGCTCACTAGTTTTATTTATCACTGAAGAAGGAAGCTGAGATACAAGCGTCAACTCCTCGACTGGTATTAATTCTGGGGCAAGTGGCGATCTAGGGGGCTTTAGACACCCAGAAGAATCTCCAGATTCATGTTTGCATTTCTTGCTGCGAGCCTTTCCTGAAGACAAAGTTGAGGATAACAGTGCAGGTTTCTGAGTGTTGGCAGAACTGCTAATGTCAGCTTCATTTTTTTTCTGACTTTGAGGTTTAGGTGAAATCGCCTGAATAAATAATAAAAAATTGATATTTTTATTTTGGTTTCTTCATTTTGGTTCTTGTATTCTACTTTGATTGTTAAGCAATTTTAGTATCCAAAAACATTGTTAAGCAACATATAACATTTCTATTACAAATGAAAAATCAAAAAGAACCCCAACAAATTATTAACTAAAAGTTGAATAAGCTGTCTTTAAAGGGACCCTGTTAACTTGCAGACGGAAACATTTTTCAACACGTTACTCATAACAGTCTCAGGATATAAACTGCTACCTTTCTGAAGATTTCTACATTAAATTTAAATATACCCCTTCTGGTGCCATCATTGCCAACAACATTCATCATAATTAGGTAAATAAACAGCATTTCATGTATTAGAATGCTAGAGGAATACATTTAAGCTCTGAATTTCAGATATGTTCTTATAAGACAATTTGCTTTATCAAACAAGTGAATGTTGAGGGCTAAGTAACAGCTTCCCTTTAAAGAAAGATCTCAACAGAAAAACAATGACCAAATTAACAAAACATTATCTTTAACTCAGTTTAGTGCTGAAAGCCCAAGTTTCATAAGCAAATTGCATCAGGAAACCATAGCCACCAGCAGTACAGAGTTAAAAGACTGAAAAACAATACAAAACAAACAACAACAACAAAAAAAAAAACCAAAGAGATAAAGTGTAAGTTTAAAACATTGGATTTAAAAACAAAATACGTCGCATTCTTAGATGAGAGTTTTTTTACCTTCCTCCTGCCAACTGATATTTAAAAAAAAAATTAGAACTTTGTCAGTTCTTCCATATAAAGAATACTCTTATTTATTTGGCAGTAAAATGTCCTAAACATAACATATGTGTGACTGTGTGTACTTTCAAAGGTAACGGAGAAGAGCCATCATTGGATGATTTGCAATCTACGGTGCTAGAATGTCTAGTTTGTTCTCCTTCTGAGGTAGGTACCTGAGAGTGAACTAGAGGAGATACATTTTTGTTTATGGATCTAAGACAGGTCTCTACACAAGAGAGCCCAATTGTTAGCACTCGGAACAACAGACTTGTTCTCAGGGAGCCTCGCCAGTGCCTTGTCTTTTGTGAGGGGCACACAGCAAGTTGGCAGTCTGCAGGAGAACATAAAGACCCTCATCTGGGGACCAAATGACTTTCGGTTCCCACTAAAATACAAGGTGCTCTAATTTTGGAGGAAAAAAGGGCCATATTTGGAATTGAGTAGGGCGCCTTTGCTCCACAGATGGCATGTTGGGATCCCACATACAGGTCTGGTGTCAAGTGCCCCATTCTTTCAGCTGCCACGGTTTCTAGTGTGAGCTTTTCTCATTTACACTGTGTGCAAGTGCAGGTTAGGGGTCTGAAAAGGCACTCCAGAAATAGGAAGTACTCCTGAGCTTATCAGAAAAGGTGTTGCCAGAAAAGTGATTAGAGCCATTACTTGTAAAGAAACAATTTTATTGTTCATCTTCACATACGTGAAAGACATCACTACAGCATCCAGTACTCTTGAGTTACAAAGTTATAAAACAAGATTTTAAAACTTAAATTAATATCTTGATAAGGTGCTTAACTTCTAAACAAGGACAAATTAACAGCTTAAAAACCTTACTGAATTATTATGCAACGAATGTAAGTGTTATGCAATAGTAAATATAACATGACATATCCCTAATACAATAATCAATAATCTATAATTAATAATCTGAGACTGGGGCTTCAAGACCACAGAGTTTAAAACTATAAATCAGATGACTCTACTAGAAGAGAAAGCTGTGGCTATCGGCCTGTGATCAGTTCTGTCAGCCACGAGGGACATTCCTACTCACTGCACAAGGGGCCAAATGACAAGCAGGATCTTGACCTTGGGGTTAGGTCATGGTTGATCCCAGTGGGGATTCAATTAAGAGCTTTGTAACTCGGCTTTTAAATTTGAGTGAGGGCTACCAATTAGCCCCAAAATTAGAAGTTTAATTACAAAACATTTCCACACTAAAATCAACCTGAATAGTTAAGTCAAAAATGATGGGAAAAGCACACTGTTCCTTAAAAAATTAACCTAATTTATAAAGTTTCAATAATGATTATTGGTCTCTCTGTTAGAAAACTGGTAAGGACACTCAAAAAAAATTTAATTATGCAAATGGAACAGCCGAGTTATTCAGTTTTCTTTTTTTAATGCAATTTCAAAATGTTGCCTTTTGTATTTCTCTCTGAATTGGGCACTGCCCTCCACATCAGCTGGAGACGTCATAAGTAATTTTTACAATCACATTCACCTCAGCAGGATGGTGCATAATGAAAGATTGACATTGTAGTGAATTTTCCAGAAACATTTTATTACCCAAGTCCCTGATTTATTGCATTTTGAGAATACCATGGTGAAAACAGTGATGAAAATACAAAATATTGTATCTGGGACGTTAAATGTAGCAATACACAGTTAAAAAAGTCATTTAAAATTTGGTAGGTATACTGACAATAACGGCAAAGACTTAACCGTTCGATGATGACAGAAAATCAGAAAGTATGATCTGTTGACATGTTAATCAATTTAAAATACCACTGATTTAATACAACATTAGTGGAGGCACCCAAACAATGCACTGTTATTGAATCAGGCCTATAATAACCCTGAAAAACTCAATACAATATCAATTAAATTTGGATGGTTTTTGTAAAATGTATATAGAGACTAGAGCAAAAGATACTCATTTTAAAGTCTTCTTTATTAGGCTACTAATAAAGAAAAGTACAATAAAAAAGGATATGTTCAAACTACATTAAGGCTCAGCTTTTAAACCAGGAGAACCCAGGAGATCCAGTTTATGGCTATTACTTGTTCTAAGCGTCTCACCGTGCCTAAGAAGTTAAGCCCTTAGAGACTGGGAAGCATGCACAGTTCCATATGTACAGGAAGGGGGGGACTCAGAGGGTAGCCAAGGCGCAATCTAGCAACTGCAACCTTCACTTTTAAATTCCTCTCTTAGGTGGTTTAAAGACAGACCTGTTAATTAAAGTTTTAAAACTCTCTTTTGTGTACTTATTAAAATATACATCCTAGCAAAAATGTATGGCTCATTGATCAATTCATAAAACACATAATCAGTCTAACACCAACTGTTACAATATAAAAGAAACTTCTTCCAAAAGAAGCTGCATTAGATGTCAAAAACCCTGTTTTAACTCACAAATGAAAAGGATTTGTGTAAGGGTCTTTTTGTAAGCTAGTTCCAGGTAATCCGGCTGGAAGCTTATACCCTGGGGGGGGTCTGTCTCCAGGCCTTCAAATATTGGAGACAAAGGCTCGAATGGCAGTCTATTGAAAACAAAAGCTCAGGAAGCCTGTAGTTTTTCTGTATACCTTGGAGAAGGTAGAGTTAAAAACAGATCCTCAATCAATGTGTTTCCCATCCCCATAGCTATAATGAGGTGGATACTCTAGTTCCAGGCCCATTCCAGTGGGAACCTTGAAAACAATCAAATGCTACCGTTTCATACCTGCTCCAGCATTGGAGCCGTTTCATTGTGGTCTTCCTTGTTTTCAGCACCATCCACCCCAACAGCTTTGGATGCCAACAAACCTTGAGGAAAATTGTACAGAAATTGCTTATTAGAAAAAGGAATGACTTTTACCCTAATTTACTTCTCAAAAAATTTAGCGGTTGAAATCTCCCATAGACTTTAACATAGAAGAAATAAATAGGTCAGAAGGATTCACTGACCAGAAATGTAAAACTCCTCTCATAAGGCGTCAAGGGTCTCATGAGGATTGAGAACTTGAGTGTTGTTTATATAATTTTGCCTGAAAAAAATCTTAATTCTTAAAGATACCCTTCAAGAAATTATTCAGTTACAAAGAAAATGTCTGTGCCTTCAAGTCCAGGAGTGCTTAGAGACTGCTAACACAGAATCTGTGTATATAAGTAAATTGAATTATAGAATATTATTACCATATGAGAAAGCCTTCCCAACATCTACAATGTAAATTACAATGTATTTTGCTGTTGTTTTATTTCTAGCTCAAAAAGTTCCTAATGTTCCATTTCATCCTTTATCCTTTAACATCAATCCACTTTATGTGGTTTTTCTAAAAGAAATTTTAAATGCTCAATTGTATCTTAACTTTTTACAAGAGTTCCCAAAACTCTGATGGATCTATTTCATGAGGGCCGGGGGGTCTGGGGAGTGGGGGTGGTGGTGAGTCAGTTCTTCCTAGAACATATGCATTTTGTTGTTGCTGTTAAGTGTCATCCAGTTGGTTTGAACGCACAGCACTGGCTTAGTTAAGGTTCTTTGCTAAGCCTATCAGGTACCTTCATTGCAGATATTTCAGTTGTTACTATGCCCACCCTGCACAGGAAAGACCACCAAAAAAAGAATTTTTTGTGCATCGTTTTAAAGTTGGCCCAAGAAAACCCCTGCTTCACAGGAAGCATGTCTAACAAGCAGCAATCCTGACAGTGGCCCGTCGCCATCACTCAGCACTTATGACGAAGCTGTCACAGAACAGCTCCAAGGACCCAAAGGTACCCAAAAGGACACTTCACTTATGAAAATGGAAATGGTAACATCTCCTGACCTTTTCAAATTAACTTCCAGAAAGGGATCTAGGAAGCAACTCAAGCATTATAATTATACTCTACTAGAACCAAATGTTCAATTAGGCAAAAGGCATCTTTCCTTAATTGGAGTCATATACCTAGCACTCGACATTATCACTTAAAATAGGAAACATTGCACGTAGAACACTGAATGAGATACACAAAGGATTAGGATGCAAACCAGTATTCGCACCATTTCAAGATTACAATCTACAATGTTTGTTCCAGTTTCATACAATATCAAGTGTAGATTTAAATGGGACAAAAACCTACTGCATATAAATAATTTTACAAACCATAATTCCGTTCCTAATACTAATATAAATTCTGAACATATTTTTAGATGCCTCAGAAAGATGTAGCATGTAACATTTCAAATCAAATTCATTAGCGTTTTCTCTGATGGCTATTGATGAGAGTCAATGAACTACTTAAATACAGAGAACAATGCTTAGGGAATCACGTTCTTCCTTTGCTGCCCCTATGGAGCTCCTATAGGGTTGCTTTAAGCAGGAACTGACTTCATGACTTTGGGGATTTTTTCTGTTTCCAAGACCTATTCAAATGGGAGAAATATTTATTATTCAACCTGTTAAATAACTATTCCTAGTTTTGCCTTTGTTTTCTTACGTACTTACAGGTGGCAGAAACTGTTAAAAATATTCATCGAAAGGTGAAATCGCAAACTACAAAATTAAAAATAAGGTACTCCAAGTTTCAACAGAACCCAAATAACAGAGCAAGACTTTGCACAGCTACAGTAGGACAGCATAGATTCAATTCATTCACAATAATTCCCATTTGTGAATGAAAAAAGTAACACCTTTTTGTAATGTGTTCATACAAAGTAAGGACGCATTAAATGAAAATGACTGAAAACTTTTACTAGATGATATAGTCCTTGGTACCTAGAAAACTCAAAAGTCCCAAACATGATCAATAAAATGCACACCAAGAAAACCAAGAGTTATGGAATGAAAATGACAATAATGAATTGTGTGCAGGAAGAGAGGGCTCTGGGGGCCCCTGCCAACAGTTTACCTTCACCTGCTAACCATCAGTGGGGCATACACTAGCCTCACAAAATGAAATAGACGTAAATAAAATGCACTGTAATTCTATGCAAGTACTTACCAACCTCTAACTAACTTCACAAGAGACTATCTATGTTGTTGTTAAGTGTCACTGAGTCAGGCCCAACTGACAGCGACCCTGTATAGCGTTTCTGAGACGCAGCTGGTGAGTCTGAACCACCGATCTCGAGGTTAAAACTGACCTTGCGGTCCATGCTTACCCTACACACCACACACGAAGACTCCTACACTATGTAATTATCTTACCAGAATGCATAGTGCATTTTCAAGAAACTAAACATCAGGTAGAAGCAGAATATAAAATACTCCAGAATCCCACCTGCCAACAAATCCACACATTTGTAACACTTTGCTTAGCTATAAAATATATACAATTGGCCTGTCCCTGCCCTAGGAATAAAAAGAAACAAGGCCAGAGATCCCTGGGTATACAGCAAAGGTGAGCAAAATGGTTCAATTCTCGGCCCACTTTTCACTGAGGGATTTCTAAACACAATCTTCTCACTAAAATGCACTATCAGTCTCGGTAATATTACCAATTATTATCAATAATGTATTATTGGTCATTTAAACCTCAAGGCTTTAAAAAAAATTATTTTCATATTTCTTTTGAGGCACAAACACACTGAAGTGGGCCGACCTTCTAGGAAGTCCTAGAGCCATGCCGCTGACCCAGTCCTATGGCTGCTCTCTCAACCTCACAGTTTGTACTCGAAAACCAATTGGAATTTAGCCTGCGTGCAACTTTCCCCCAAAGTAAGACCACCTGATTTTCTGCATCAAAGTGATTATTATAGAACTATATGCAACAAAAAAGCACATAACACAACTGTCAACAAGGTATATGACATCATAATAATAAAAGACCCTAGATGAACATATGTATATATACTGCAAAAACATTTTTGATGTCTATGTATTTGGACAGTGCAAGAAAAGCCATGCTGCGGCATCCTCTATATAAGCATCCGTTTTAGTGTCTCTCTGGGAAAGGGAGCGGGGTGCGCTGTGGGAAGGGACAGGAAGACAGAATATTTATGACTTAGCACATCAAGTGGTGCTTCAGTTCTAGGAGTTGTCTATTGAAAACATACCAGGATGCCACAACAAAATCACGCCATTAGCTCTCAATTTTTTTTTTTTTCATAGATTACAATAAATGGAAGATTCAGCATCAAGTCCAAGTTTCAACCATCCAAAAGCACCTGACAACAGCTACAAGACAGGTGGGCAGTTGGTTATAAGATGACCACACACAGACATCCTCCGGGAAAGAAAGGGCAAGGGCGGCACTGGTATGGCATCTGTGAAATCTTACGCTTTCTGCTGCTGGCCACCTATCACTTGTTCATCTGAGCCTCACAGGAGAGAGTGAAGACAGCCCCCTCCACAGAAGCCATCAGTACTGGAACCTCCTGGAGGCACGTGGTAAGCTGGTGCTTTTTCTCTTGCTGCTGTCTTTTCAGGCCAGGCCACACAGAGACAATGCATCCTTGGGAACACCGTTGTTTGGGTCTGTATTTCTTTAACATTAAACTGGAACTTCCAAGTCAGGCGTGTGTAAGAGGGTACTGACTACAAGTGAGTGAGCTGTGGTGCTTGAGGCAGAGAGCCAGCAGCTGTCATGCACCACATCCCCTCCGTCGTCCCTCAGTGTCACAGGAAGTAGAACTCCAGTCCACACGCTGGCAGCATGGAGCACAGGGCCCCAGGCGCTAAGGCAAAACCCAAGTCTCAAGTTGCCATGGTAACAATTAATAGGATAACATTGTTTCTAAGGAAAGGTGGAATGGGTAAATCAACTTAGAACAGTCCCTGTCCAGCTGCCAAAATATATCCTTTAAGAAAGGAAGGTGTGGAAAGGAGACAAACTAATGGGAAGTGAAGGCATATTGTCGTGTGTTGAAACTAACTGCAGTCACGGATCAGTTTTTCAGTAAAACAGGAATTCTCACGAACCCCCAGCTGCACACTGATCTGGAAGTGGGCTCTCAACTGTAAGAAAATGTCTCAAATGTTCTTATGTATTCCTGGGCCTGACAATGAAACCAAGCCTCTTCAAATTATTGAAATAAATGCCAACAACGGTTCATAGATGTTTATTAGGGCCAAAGATGGTTAAAAACCATTTAGTCATGTAAGAACTTCATATGGCTAAATCATTAAAGTACTGTAACTCTTCTTTTAGCATATGCTCAGAAAAACAAAATATGTTCACAGTTTGTTTTAGAGATTTGAGTCATTGAGCTGAATAGCCCTTGGAGGCCGCTGGCCCTGTATGTTTGGTCCAATTCTAGAGCTTCTTCTATGACATTAACCACATTCGGGATTCCATTGTTTTCCATCACACTAACACAGCTACTTCCAGAATTATATGAAAACAGAGAGAAATAGCCCAAATAATGAGGCCAACCTGATGGTTAGTTAATGCAGATAGTCCTCTTTCTAACCATGTGAGGATATGGTGTCATCCTTAACGGATACTGATCAATAATAAGTTCAGGAATTATGTCACAGTAGCTACACAAAAGAAATTAATTTACTTCCATAGAAACAACTCCTACCACCAAAGTGATGTGAAAATGATGGGATTTCTAACATTTGACTGACCCAAGCCCCCAGCATCCCTGCAGATAGGAGAAAGGTAGCATTATCTGCATTTTCCCACAACAAAACAATGCACAGAGCTGAAAGGAGGGCCCTTAGAGAGCCATAAAGGAAACGTCTTTCCTGTCCACCAGTTTATTACTCTGAACACAGAGATGCATTTTACTTTATTAAAAGGAAATAACTTTAGCATAAAACCCTCCACCCCTGGCCCCACGAAAGGAATCATTGTAGTTTACCAGTGATCTTGTTAAGTCGAGCTCTCTTGGCCTGAAATGAGTTGCCTTGATTAGTTTTCCTCTTGTGGGACAATGTGCTCTCTGGCTGTGGAAAGACCATCTTTGGAACGTTCTCTACATGAAGTCCTACTTTTAATAGAATACATATATCAGAGTTTATCTAGAATCCAAAATTAAGGCACATAAAACTTTTTCTATAAGTAGAAAAATAGTAAAAATGCTTTGAACAGTATTTTTTAAATCTAGTGTGTGGCATAGAAATCTGAAAAACACTCATCTAATATCCAGATTCATAACTAGAAACCAAGGTTACTCGGAAGTTATTGTTCAGGAAAGAAAATCAGGAGGATAGTGACTTGCTGTCTTTTCCATATTATCTACTGAAAAGACAGACAGGCATTTAAAAAATAAAATAAAAATAAAAAACATAAAACAATAAGCAAACAAAAACCTACTACTACGCGGTTCACATCAAAATCTCAATGTGTTTCTATTCCAGAACATTGAGGGCATTCAATTTTATCATCCTCATGAGAACATCCACCTTCAGATGTTCCACAGGCTAACCCTCATCTTGGGCTGGTGGGGACCATCCTAGTAATTCAATTACACATACATAAAAACAAGTAGCCAAGGGATCAACTTATTCACTAGGTGAATCTCCCACTGTCACAAGGCCAGGAGTAAAAGAATGTTTTGTACCAAAGGTTTCACTAGAGGTGGGCAGATCTCCCTGCTTCTCCATCTCTGGGGTGGCAGTAGAAGCCGGGTTTTCTTCCTTCTTGGAAGGTACTTTCACCCACTTTCTTTCCTCTTTTTCCTTATTGCTGTTCGCGCTGGTTCGAGGTTTAGTCCCCGTTTTATTCTTGGCGGCAGCTGCAGCAGCTGCTTTGACTAAAGCTATCCAGTCCTCCAAAGGAAACACACAAAACATGTGAAGTGTTAAAAATGAATCAAGATGCAATTACACCAATGAAAAAAAGCATAAACATTTTCAAAACTATGTTCACACACACAAACATAAAACTCGAATTAAATTTGTTTATGAGATGGATCATCAACCTAGATTATCAAATTTAATAATCTAATGGGTTCATGGGTTACACAAACTTCCATAAAATAAAAAAATACTCAATAACAAATGTTCTTATGGTAGATTTTAGTAAGGATGAAATAACACAGAAGCAGCCTGTCACATATATGGAATACTACATGACATTCTGACATAGAATGTTGGGCTTCAATGCTGAATTGTGTTTCTTTTCCAGAATACAACTAACGGCAAAAGGAAAGAAACATTGATTATACCGCAATTCTACAGAGGTTAAGAAGGATATACACCCCACTGGGTGAATGATTACTCTTTTTAAGGAAGAATGTACCATTGAAAATTGGGTTACATTTGTGGAAATCAAGGTATAGTTTTAGTCTTTTCTAGTTGTTAAAGTGTGGGTGCTGATTTATCACAACAGTCTCATATTATTAATGAAGCCACACCAAAAGCTACTTGATTTGGCCAAGGTCCAGCCCCAGATGCATTGCTGGGCCCAGGTGAGCTGCTTTTCTCTGGCATGCTGATAACTTATTTCTTCTGTGTTCATTTTTTCGGTTAGTTGATACATAATTTTCACAGCTTTTGTTTTTAACTGGCTGTTAAATCAGAGGCAGGCATAATGGAGTGCTGAAACAAATTCTAACTATCTCTCTAAAGGAACTCTTCCACTGAGGCCAATGAGGACTGTCAAACTGCCCCGACACGTGGAAGACCGTAAATCCCTAGTTACAACAACTAAAAATAGTTTCACATTAAAGTCATTTAATTCATGGGCACAATAACAGACAGGCCACTAAGCAGTAAGAGGGAGAGTCAAAGAGTTGATGGAAAAATGGAAATACAAGATAATGGAATGTGTTCATGAACTTTTTAAGTTCCCTTACATAGGGTGATGGCTGCTTAGTTTTGAAAGTACACGGTGAAGATAATAAGCCATTAAAACAAATAAAATCAAGGTGTCTCCCCCCTCACCTCCCATGACTGAAATAAACCAAAAACACGACAGAACTTAGCACGTTCATTCATCAAATTTCTAATAAGTACCCTGCTACATATGCCAGGAACCACGTTCATCAACAACAGCTGATTTAAAACAACAAAACTGGTTCTACCCATAGGAATTCACAGCAAACAAAAGTAACCTCAAGACAATGTGAAAGGAAAAGTGCTAGAAGAATGAACAAACTATTACTGGGAAACAAATAAACAAAGCTAATCTTGACTGACAAGAACACAGGACAGGCTTTCAAGAAAAGGTGGAACCCCGAAGGCTATCTGGACTTGAGCTAGGAAAAGGCAGAGTGAAGGGAGAAATGGGGCACTCCCAGCCCAAAGAAACAAAGGCCCTGAACTCAAAGCTTACAAGAATGGCAAAGAGCAGCCTAAGGTACAGGGTGCAATCTGGGTAGCTGACAGCATTTACAGTGAAACTGAGACTGGACTGTTTGTTAAGGAAGGAAACTGCTCTCAATGAAAAACACTGAAAGCAATCAACAGGTGGGGACAACAAGAGCAAACACAACCCAAGAGCACACAAGCGGGCTATCCTCAGCACAGGCCAAGTGCTAAAAAATAATGCAAGAAGATATGCTGGCAAGCACCAAGGGTAAGTCCCATCCCATTTCCTTTCTACCTCCATCCCAAAAAGAGAAAATGAAAAGAGAACCAACTACTACATCTTTAAGAATCTGAATTGTTATCAAGTGCCATCGAGAGTCAGTTACAACTCTTAGGGACTCTTTCAGAGGCTGTAAGTCTTTGCGGGAGCACAAAGCCTTGTCTTTCTCCTGCCGGGCTCACACTGTCTTTCTCCTGCCAGGCTCACACTGTGGACCTTGTTTGTGGTTCACAGTCCAGTGCTTATCATATGGAACCACAGTGCTCCCTTAGAATTTGAATAAGATATTTTAAAAACTACTTCTCGATCATATGACTTGTTAACCATAGGAATCACTGCATTATGTCGTTTAGGAATTCCCACATTCGTTTGCTGTTGTATTCACTGTCAAAAATAAGTAAAGTGTGCTCTTTCTGTGAATTTGAGCCAATAATGGTATATTTCCACGTTCTTTGTAGATAACAAAGCAATGCACGAAAAAGAGCACAGTGTTTGAAGTCAGAAGACCTGGGTTCAAATGCACATAATGGCTGAGAACAAATTTAAGTCAGTCACTCGAGTCTCTCAATTCTGAACGCTGCCACTGTGAAACAGAAATATCAGCCATACCGATCAATGTCAAAGGGTTGGCTATAAGTAATGTATGCAGAAACTGTGTTAGAAATACAGAGGAATTCATACGCTAATCTTCACCACTCACTCATGAGGTAGTCCATAGACTACCTGCAGGCCAGCAGCAGGTTGTACAGGGGATCCATTCCCCACTCTTCAAGTGAAATTAGTAGAGATGTCTGAACAGGTGAACATGGTTTATTTGAGTCTTACGTTAGCTTAAGGAGCCCTGGTTGCAACATCAGCAGTCCAAACCATCAGCTGTTCCTTGAGAGTAAGCTGAGGCTTTCTGCTCCCGTAAAAACTGACCACCTCAGAAACCCTATTCAGGGTCTCTGTAAGTCGAGATGGGGTCAAGTTTGGCAGTTCAAAGCCACCAACTGCTCCACAGGAGAAACACGAGATTGTCCGTTCTGGTTAAGATGTAGTCTTGGAACAGTCTTGGAGCAGCTCCACTCTGCCCTAGAGTCGCTATGAGTTGGAATTGACTGGACAGCAGTGGGTTTGGGGGTTGCTGCAGACAAAGACTTAGGAAGCCTTTTCCATGATTTTAAAGCTGCACACGCAAGGAGTAAAGGCAGTTGTGATGAAGACTTGGTTGTGAGTCCACTGCAAATTCACACAGTCAAGAGAACACAGGAGCTTCCAACTGCCTGTGTTACCAACAAACCCACGGAGAAAAAAGACAGAGACAAAACCAAGTACTTCCTCTGTTATTTACCCCCAAATTAAAAAGACAATGGCTCACTCTCTAACTCTGTAGTTACAGCTGCAATGCTCTTATTGGAGTCCTGGTACGGCACTGTAGGATAAGCACCGGACTGTTAACCACAAGGTCAGCAGTTCAAACCCACTAATCGCTTCTCAGAAACCCTATACATGTTTGCTATACTTTCCACAGGGTGGCCTATCAGAAGTAACAAAAGCTCAAAGATCTCTCACTAGAGGACGGAATCAGTCCCATCCCCTTAACATATGGCAGTTTCAAAGCTATTTCTGTCTCCAGTACAATGACTCCACTCAAAATGATGTGCAGAGAGACAAAAAGAAAGGAAGGGAAGCAGGGAGGGAAGGAGGGAAAGAAGAAGACAGGCAAGGGAGAAAAGAGAAGAGGGCAGTCCACACAGCTACCATAGTCAGTCTCTGGACTCACTGACTGACTTTACTACAGGATAGAAAGCTCTGTAAGGGACTCACAGTGACCTCTGAATGCAGGGCTTGAATCATAGTATAAACCAACTGGTTCAGAGTCAGAATCAACGGAAGTTAGCCTTTTATCCAGGCTCAAGTACATTCAGTATTTTAGAGGTTCACATATCTATTAAGTATTATTTATGTCATACATTTACAGGTACTGTAGAAAGTTCAGGAAAGGACATTTCCACAGTACATTTGTTAGATGAATTACTTGTTGATAGTTAAAAATATATATATTCATGAAATGGAGTTTTTTATATAAAACAGAAACACCTCTATAAATACTGTATAATGTGCCTACAATTAAAAATATTTCTGAAGAAAAAATAAGAATTTAAAGGAAATATATTAGCACCCAAACTTTTTATCAGCAGTTTTATATTCCAGCACCAAGTTTAATGTTACTGTACATTACGATGTATGAAAATATTCATTAAGCATGAACACCAATATATGCAGTACATGCAAACCCCCAAAGCCAGTGCTCCAATCGATAACTACTGCACAGCAAATTGGTCCAAGGTCTCGCTGTGGAAAAGGCAAGTTTTAAGGTAACAGTACTAGTGCCAACTCAGGGACATTTGAAGAGTAAGAGAAACAAAACAATAAAGTAAAAAGCAATAGAAAATTTGGTCTAAACTGACCCATATTACTGTATGTTCCCAATGTTTTCATCTATCTTTTTATGTAGGAACCAAGAAGCACGCAAATAAATGCTTAAAATAACAGTTTATTTATATATACAAGTATGTAGACACAACATGATTTCCTAGTCAAGAGTATTTTCATTTTAAAATCCATTTTCACATTAATTAGGAGAAAAACCCCCACTAGATGATTATTTCGTAATTTAACTTTTGAAAACCATATTAGTTACAGCAATAACTTCTCTTAAGACATCTTAAAGAGGGTGTGCGCATGTGCAGACACACACACACACACACACACACACACACACGCTTGTCTTTTCTTTGAATGTGGTGGTATCCATTTCTACACTATTCTATGTTTAAACTTCATTCGAGTTAACCAAGTGATGGCAGGACATTTCAGAACGACAAAGATTTTTTACTGCACTATACAAAACACACATACAGCATATTTCTATATCAGACATTTGTATAGATTACTGTAAATCTTAAAATTAATTGTAGGTCCAGGTGCTGAAAATCCCAAATAACAGCAGAATATAAAAGAAAACATTTCAAATCTCTAATGGCACCTTTTGTTTCCCACGTTTCCGGAAACATATTCAACAAATGGACTGGCGGTTTGGACTCCACCCCAGATTCACCTGCACACCTTACCGTTCACTCGTGCTCTGAGCAGTGTGGGGGCTTGTAAGGTAGTGCGCACGTTGCGCGACTGGGAGAGTCCCACCCCAGCAGCCTACAGAGTGTCAGGTAAGCGCCTTTGACCAGAGGATTAACAACTAGGATTTGTAGAAGGAAAGAAGAAGATAAGAAACCCAATCTAAAATTTTATATCCCAAATTTCCTTTCTAAGTGACAAATCAGGAAAAACAAAGCAAAGATCACACAAGGCACTTACCTCACGTCCCATAGACTGGCTGCACGGTCCAGCTGGGTCGCTAGGACAACACCAGCTTAGTGGGTGCTGGGAATTCACCTGGAACAGAAACTCGCGACCTATAACTTTAGCAGGTCTCAAACCGAAGAAGCAAAAATCATGTGTATAATTTATTTTACATGCTAAGCTGCTTTTTCCGGCTGCTATTTGGGGCTATCAGCACATAACCCTACAATTAGTTCACTTTCAAAAATTAAGAAAAAAAAAAAAAAAAGGTTTTGATCAGTCACCATCCAAGAAGACGTCCCTGTGGGTAGCTAAGAATGCTGAACACTCTTACCTGCCCCTTAGCGTCCTCGGGCATGGCTTTAATGTGCATTCTTTTTAAACAACGAATGACTCCGTCATAAAATTGAACTGTGAATGTTCCTGAAACAGGAGCAAGTCAGAACCATTAGAAAATATGATTCAACCTTACAGCAACGCTTGACATATGACAGGTAGTGACGGCCCTGAGAGAAACCAGTGCTCTGCGGCTGCAGTAATTACAATGGCCACCCGTTTCTAGGACGCCACCAAGTCCATTACAAGCACCCGTTCGTTCTCTTTTCCTCTCGACAAATAACTCTAGACAAGACCCAATTTCTTTAAAAGCTGTACAAAATAAGTCTTAGTGAATTAGTTACATGAAATTCCAACAGAGAATTTCTTAGAGAATTTAAAGTTTATTATAGAACCACCACCACATGTAGAGACTTACAACATACCTGACAAAAACAAATTCGTATTTAAAAATCTGTATGGTATTTTCAGAGGATTAGTATTTGCTCTCTGAAAACGGTTTCCCCAAAGAGGCGCAGCTGATCCATGGAAAGGACCGTTTTCCCAGAAATATCCCTTTGGAAATAATAATGGATTGGCAAATAAAAATCAGAGATTCATCAAACTTGGTGCAGGAAAACACTTTCCAAAGCAGCTTGGTGGAGTCTGCCTTTCCCAAAGAGAACACTGGCCTCCAAGAAGGCGAACTGCTACCCCACAGGTCATGCTGCTGACGTGTGGCACAGCCTCATATACATACACACCTGGGCCCCTCCTCCCCCTCCAGCCCTCCAGGCCTCTCTGGGAACTCAGTCAGCCTCCTAGGACTGAAGATCCTGTTTGCAAGCATCTTATGAAGCATGTTCACTTTTGGTTTCAGACTGCAGGCTGTGAAGTCAATGTAAGCCAGTACTACTCCAAAATATAGACCTTTTGTAGATTTTATACTTTATGGAAATGTAAACATTCCGTCTTTTCCTGTACCAATGAGGGAAAACTATCATTCTGAGTAAACCAAGATTTGGCCTTTGCAAAAGAAGGTATAAATAATATATGTGATCAATGTTCGTAAGGGCTTGGCGATCAGCAATAAAGCCAAAAACAGATTGTGCAAAGAGTTTCCTTTTTTCCTAATTCCAAAATCAACACTTGATGCCTTCTCTTTCCATGTGAGTATCACAGCAGGAAGATCTGAACCCAAGTTAGGAAACATGAACTTTTCAGTTAAATAGCAAAGATGTGAAGACCTTGTGAAAACGTGGAGAATGTCACAATCTGCGCCCACCTGCCCACCACAACTGTCAGCCCACTGCTTCACTGTGGCAGCCCAGCCCAGCCCAGCCCAGGCCAGTCCTGCACGCTCACCCCCTTTCCTCTGGCTTGCCACTTCCTTCTCTTTTCCTTATGAGCCCCCACCTGGAAACACCCCTGCTGGCCATGCCTATCCACACCACTCTCCTATTCTCTACCCATCACAGGCATGGCTGTGCTCACACTAGGCAGGGCTATTTTGCTTGTGTAGTGAGTAGGTTCCCTGAGGACCTGCTTTGCCTTTTGGGAGAGATCAGTCTCCTCCACCATGTAGGGCACACAGAAACCACAGAATGAATACTCCTTCTACTGGAGACCGAAAACAAACGACATCTGTGATGAATCGGCACAGCTCCAAGGGCCCCTAGAAAACACTCAGGCATGGAGGCCACACCACCAGCCGTATGGCTCCTCCACTACCGCAGGCTTCATTCTCTTGGTTTTCTGAACTTGTGCTTGGCGGCTGTTTGCCAGCAGAACTGACTCCCCCCTTCCTCCCTCCCAAGGGGGTCTTACTGACTTGCCCGCTCTGGGCTCAATAGTGGGGAGATAGGGATTCCAGAGTGTGGGATCCAGGCCCAGCTCCTCAGAAGGGCAAGCCACAGGCGGCAGCACCAAAGGAGAAGGCACCTGAATACTGATGGGTGGGGCTGGTTCTTCGCCCTCCCACTCAGAGTGACCCTGCACAGGGTGTCTGAAGCATCTGTCTTTACTGCCTCATCTGTCTCCCACTAAGTAGCTGGCAGATTCAAACTGCCAACCTTATAGTTACTAGACATTTCATACCCACTCTACTCCCAAGGTGGCTAGTGGTCATAACATTACAGCCAGTTTTACTCATTCACTAAGACAACAGATTGGATGAAACACCTTATCAAGTTGTATCATGAGTTCCATGCACCACATTACTAACTTTTTCAACACCTGTCATTCCCCAATAGATTCAATTTAAAATGTTTCCTTTTCCTAAGTTTTGTTATGTATTGTTTCTCAAGTTTGACATTAGGTTAAATCCCATCCATGGTTTGCCATCACTTCCAAATAAAACTCTGATCCTTCAGCCAGATCATAGGATCGTGCCATACACTGGGCTGTGTGTGTCCCTCTCTCCAACCTCGGTGCCTCTCTCCAGTCACACCAAATGCCTGGCAGCTCTTTAAAGGGGCAGGCCTCTCCCACGTTCAGTCTTTTGCCAGAAAACCCTTCTTTATCTACTTATTTGTTTTTCAAGACTCAGTGTAGGGACAGTTCCCCTGTTTTAGATTAAATGCCCTGTGGGTTTGTTTGTTGTTTTTATGCCAACAATACAACTCATAGCAACCTTGTATATAGTTACCAACCCTGTATAGAGTTGGCGAGTTTGAACTGCTGACCTTGCGGTTCAAACCGACCTTTCTGTCCAGTGCATTAACCTGCGGGGTCACACCAGGACAACAGAATAAATACAAATAATAATAGAGTGGTCAAGTTCAATAAGTAGTTGGAATACAAAAAGAACATGTATCTGACTTGAAAAACATTATTTGAAAAGTCATTTCCAATTGTTTTAAGTATTCAATGAGAAACAAAAAAAAAAAATACAAAACTTAAACATATTCTTAGAAAAGATAGTTTAAATGATAACTCTCACATTTTTAGATTCATCAGTCTACAAGTTCTGAGTTTTAAATTCACTCTGTCTTACAAATTGTCGGTCTTATGAATTCTGCTTCATTTTCAACATTTCTGATCACTTCAGTAACTTTTGTTCAGTATGTAAACCCCTGACAAATATTCACAAAAGGGTATTAAGAACACAGACTTTTAGTTCTCTATAGAAACTAAGAGAGGAGGATGAGGGAAGCAATCAAAGAAACACTCAAACAGATAAAGTCCCATACTCTTTCCTCAGAACATTCCGTGCTGTACTTTACTTATGCGGGGAACGGATATAAATTTCCCTTCATCTCTAACCTTTTCTCCCACTCTAATGGGGAGGTTAACAAAAGCAATTTAGTCAAAAACTGAAAACAGAGAAGTAGAAAGAAAAGCTGTAAACTGAAGGTTGAAAGATTATAACCAACCATTTGCCCCATCTCATGAAGCTATGTAGTCAGGCAGTAAAGCGTGATCATCTTAGTCCACGCAACACGTTCAATGATGCCAAAGAATATGCCAGCAAGAAATGCATTTGGAGGATTTAAAACAAAGAGAAGTAAAAAGTGACACCAAACAGTTATATCTCTTCATTAAAATTCACATTACGGTTAAGTTTGACTATTAAGCCCACGTTTAAATCTCCGATCATTTCAAATACATACCTTCTTTGTTAATTGCTTCAATCTTGGCAGGGTAATAGCGACAGTCTGTCCAACGAGCCAGAACTTCCTCTCCGGCTTTAAAATCCTATTTTAAACAACTTTTAAGATCAATACCATGTATATAATAGCATTTCCTTAACAAAAATTGGTTTTGTAAAATTTAACAGAAATCCTTTAAAAATATGTCATTACATATCTAGCAAAACCAACAACTACAAGCAGCATGGTACTTACAAAGAAATCCTCCTCATCTTTCAGACCCTCTTTCCTCAGCGCTGGTCTCTCCAGAGGTCGCAATCTATTGCTATCCCAGAAAATCCACTCATCGTAACGATGACTCCAGCGCTCAAAATGGACCAACATCTTGCCCTCCTCATAATCTATTTTTTCAATCCGTGAAGGATACCTCAAAAATAAAAGACCATTTCATGTCAAGAGAGAATTCTTACCTTTGTTTAGTCAAAGGACAAAACTGGAGAATGTAACTAATATCCCGTTTTTGAGTCCATATTTTTAAATGATCAAACCAATCCTTGTTTTGCTCACTTCATGATCACTGTGTGTGTGTGTGTGTGTGTGCATTTTAAAAGGTCTAAGAAATAAGAACTTTAATACACTCACAATGTAAATATAAATTCCTGAACCATTTAGAGATCAAGGGCCTTAAACATATTCTTCCTCCTTTCCATCCAATCATTTCAATTCTGGAACTATATACATGTGTTCTTGTGTTTGTTGTTAGGTGCCATCAAGAGGGCACCAACTCATAGCAACACTATGTACAACAGAACGAAACACTGCCTGGTCCTATGCCAACCTCACAATAATTGCTACATTTGAGCCCACTGTTGCTGCCATTGTGCCAATCTATCTCGTTGGGGTCTTCTTCTGTTTCTTTGACCCTCCATTTTACCAAGCATGATGTCCTTCTCCAGGGACTGATTCTTTCTGATAATACATCTCAAGTATGAGAGACAAAGTCTGGCCATTCTGGTTTCCAAGGAGCTGTCTGGCTGCATTTCGTCCAACACAGATCGGTTTGTCCTTTAGGCAGTCCATGGTACTTTCAATATTCTCCTCCAACACCATAACTTAAATGCATCAATTCTTCCATGGTCTTCCTTATTCACTTTCCAACTTTCACATGCTTATGAGGTTATTGAAAATACCATGACTTGGATTAGACACACCTTAGTCCTAAAACTGACGTCTTATGCTTGTCAATGCTTTAAAAAGGTCTTGTGCAGAAGATTTGATTTCTTGACTGCTGCTTCCATGAGTATTGATGGAGCATCTGAGCAAAATGAAGTTTTTGACAACGTCAATCCTTTTTCCACTTATATGAAGTGTACATTGGTCCAGTGGTGAGGATTTTTTTCTTTACACTGACTGAGATGCAACCAATGCTGAAAGTTGTGATCTTTGATCTTCATCAGTAAGTATTTTAAGTCCTCTTCCTTCACTTTCAGCAAGCAAGGTTCTATCATCATCATATCACATGTTGTTAATGAGTCTTCCTCCAATCCTGATATCATGTTTTTCTTCATATAATCCAACTTCTCGGATTATGTGGTCAGCAAACAGACTGAGTAAGTATGGTGAAAGAATACAACCTTGGTACATACCTATCCTAATTTTAAACCATTCGGTGTTCCCTTGTTCTATTCGAACAACTGCCTCTTGGGCTATGTACATGTTCCTCATGAGCACAATTAAGTGTTCCAGAATACTCTTCTCCGCACTATTGTCCATAACTTGTCAGGATCCACACAATTGAAAGCCTCTGCATAGTCAATAAAGCACAAGTAAGCATCTTTCTGGTATTCTCTGCTTGCAGCCAAGATTCTTCTGACATCAGCAATGATATCTCTTGTTCCACATCCTCTTCTGAATCTTGCCTGAATCTTTGGAAGTTTTCCGTCAACGTATGGTTGCAGCCGTTTTTGTATTATCATTAGCAAAATTTTACTTGTAACCGATATTAATGATATTGTCCGATGATTTCTGCATTCTGGTCACCTCTCTTTGGAATGGACATAAATATGGATCTTTGCCAGTCAGCTGTCTAAATGTCTTGGAAGTGAGGGTCTCCAGTGCTGCATCAGTTTGTTGAAAGATTTCAATTTGTACTCCATCAATTCCCGGTGCCCTGTTCTTTGCCAATGCTTTCAGTGCAAACTGGACTTCTTCCTTCAGTATCACTGGCTCTTGATCATATGCTACCTCTTGGCTGGTGAGTTTGAACCACCAACCTTGCAGTTTAGGTAGCCCAGTGCTTACCCCACCATACCACTAGGGCTCCTTCCCTGTGGGAAAGTGGTATAGATAAAGATTACTATGGATTACACACAACTATGAAAGCCAAGAAGTGATCACTGCCCACTTTGCAGATTAACCATGCCACATAAGGCTTTGTTATTTCCAAGCCCTGACTCGGTATCCACTGTAGCTCCTTTTGTCTTTGTGACAGCCACTGTGGCCCACATGGATCCAGTGATAACTGCACTACCTGTGATCCTCACCCACCACGCTATCAAACACCTGGACTCTTGCACAAGTGATACATTCTGCTTAGTGCCTTTGTACACTCACCAGTCAAGACTGGGCCTACCACAGACTGCCTGAGGGTAGTGCTCTCTCACAGCCATCAGGCTGTAACTGTCTCTGCTCAGAGTCATCAACTCCCCGCCCTGAGGAAGGTCATCTGTGTGACCCAGAAGGAGAGTCCTGAGCTCACATCAGTTAAGCAAATGCTGGCCTTAAAAACAAAATAAACCTTAAGTTGCTTTCTTTACTGCAGGTGTTCCTGGTACCTTCCACAAGAGGAAAAGAAAGTATCATTATTTCCAACCTTAAGGAACTACAGAAGATTTTATCATGTGGTATTTATTCATATTTCTCTGTACAACAGAGTTCTAAGCCAGGTGATATTAGAAATGCTACTATAGTGCGATCCTCTGGGAACCCCAGCACCTGGCCCTGTGACTGACACACCAGGTACTCGAGGTGCTCGGCATGAAGAATGGATGGTGAAGAAAGTTTGTCCGTATTTATTCCAACAGTAATCAAAATACTGAACCCCTAACGCACAGGAAATAAGGCTACAAATACAAAAACAGCATTACTCCTTTCAACAAACACAAATTCCAGCTGAGAGGAGGGAGGTCCCATAGAATCACAAGGTAACTCAATTCTGTACGATGTTGTTAAGTGTTGTCAAGTCGGGTGCAACCATGAATAGGGTATCCAAGGAGTGGTTGGTAAGCCTGAACCACCAGCCTTATGGCTCAAAATGGCATTGCAGTCCAGCACATTACCCTTCAGTACTATACCAAGGCTCCCTGATAGAGCAGTTTATGAAAACACAACAGAAATTGTGGTTTGTTGTTGTTGTTAAGTGCCGTGGAGTTGATTCTGACCCACAACGACCCTGCATAGGTTTCTGAGAGCGGCTGGTGAGCTTAAACTTTAACTATCGTACCACGTTAACTATCGTACCACACTAGGTCTCCATCCAACAGCATCCAGAACAGAGCCCTAGTGACACAGCAGGTAAGGCACTTGGCCGCTAACTCTAAGAGCTGGTTCAAACACACCCAGCAGCTCTGCAGGAGAAAAGGCCTGGAAAGCTGCTCCCATAAAGACATTACCCTAGAAAACTGAGGGCAGTTAGACTCAGTCAGTGGGGTCCTGGTATCGTGCTATAGGATAAGCACTCTAAAGCTAATCACAAGGCTCGTGGTTCAAACCCACCAGTCACTCCCCAGAACAGACTTAATGGTACTCAACAACAGTGGATGAAACAGACTTAAAATAGGATTTAAACCCACCTAATTGAAGTGTTCAACATTTTAACCCACTGCTGTTAAATTAACTCCAACTCCAAGCAAGCCGACAAAGCAGAGCTGCCCCTTAAGGTTTCCAAAGCGGTCATCTGTAGAGAAGCTGACCACCACAGCTTTCTCCGACAAACTGGCTAGTGGCTTCAAACTGCTGACCTCTTGATCAGCAGATGTGTACTTAACACTTCAAATGAGAATGTCACTTCAGACAAGAAACTATATAGTAGTGCTCCTGCTGTTGTTGTTAGCCACCCTGTATAGGGTTTCCGAGGAGCAGCTGGTGGGTTTGAACTGATGACCTTGTGGTTTGCAGTCCAGTGCTGATCCCACAGCACCACACTAGAAGTGGCTAATAGCTGTTAGAGGAGCTAGAAGCAGAGGGACCATCGTCAAGAAGATCAGTGCAGATCCAAGTGAGTTGAGTCGTGCATCAAAAGCTTGAAGTGAGTTGAGTCGTGCATCAAAAGCTTGTGAGTGGCCCCAGACACGATTACAGGTCCACCCACCAGGAGTAAAACAGAAAGAAGGCAACCAAAACTGTACAGCAGATTCAAGTCCTCTTCTACCCAAGACTAGAACTAGATGGTACCTGGGTACCACCACTGACCCTTCTGACCAGGTCACGAGAGTTAGTGCCCCACAGAATGTGACAAAAACAGGGACAACTCAAATTCTAACTAAAAAAAAAAAGGCCAAACAGCAGAGAACAAAAACTCCCTGAGACACTGTTTAAACCCAGAACCTCACCCATCTCCTAGGATCACCTTTTAATGAAAAAGATTGGCACATAAAATAAAGGAAGTTACCTGGAAGATCAATGTCCTTAAAACCCAACACTACGTGACCCAAAGGACAATTGTTTACATGCACAGATGAGAAGGTAAAGGGGAAAGGGGACAGACAGGGCACAATCAAAGAGAAGGTTAATGTGCCATAATAACAGAACTAATGTCACCAAACAATGTGTGTGAAAATTGTCAAATGGGAACTGAGCTTGTACAGACTTTCACCAAAAACTCAGTAGCATTTAAAATGAAAGAGGCAGAATACACACCAAAGCAAACAGAGAATTCCTACAACCTACTAACCCTTTAAACTTTGTACCTTGTTGAGGCACTCTAAGCTGTTACGCCTAATAGTTTTTAGAAGCACACCCCCGCCCCCAACCACCCCCCATTCACTCACCTAATATTCTAGTATTTAAGATCAGTGCTTTCAGATACCACATGTGAATCTGGTTCATACGTTTCATTCAAACTTGGTAATCCAAAACACAAGGCTTTCAACACTGAGATCACAGTTTGTATGCACGTCCACATCACATCTTCAACACCCAGTGATAACTTGCCTCTTCTCATTATTTCTTCTTTTCAGCCCTTCTGTTCCCGTACAGTCATGTCTAGTCCCAGCTGACCTGTCCACCCTGCTTCCTTCTGTCTGCACTCTTTTCAGAGACACATGGAAGAACACTAAGCTACGTATTTTCCTTAAGTCTATGGCAGCTACCTTCCAAATGAATTTTTCATTTAACATCATTGGATTTAAAATCCCTGTTCCTTTCCAC